GTATTTTAAACTGTATAAAAAAAATTGAAATCAATTGTGAAAATCCATTCCTTATATAGGACGGTCTCTCCTGTTAAGTGACATATATGAATTTTTAAAAAATATCTGGTAAACTGAATTTATTATTATTATTATAAGTGACATATATGGATGGATTTTTAAAAAATATCCGCTAAATCGAATATATTTAATATTAATATGAAAATCCGTTAAATCGAGATAAAATAATTATAGAAAAATTTTGGTTTTGAAAATTTATCCGTTAAACCCCTAATCGAGGTCCGTTAAATCGAGACTCACTGTATATTGTGTCACGAATTGCCTTGAGTTACGTCTTGAGTTACGAATTGCGTCCTACATCTCTTGCATCATGAATTGTGTTTTGCGTCATGCATAATGCCAATTGCAGCTTTAAACCACTATAACTGTTTCATCTTTTATATTTAATTAATTATTATTATCTAAATTTATGTAAATCACAAAATTTTCTTATTAACCCGAAATCAACCCGAACTTGACCCATTAGGAGCTTTACAGGCTCATCCTTATTGTTATCAACAGAAGAATTTTTATCTTCATTGATTGAAGGAAATCACCATCATTATCTTCATTAGAAGTATCTGTTACATTATTATCATCATCTTTATTTGAAGTGTTTTATTGTCAACAAAAGAATCATCCACTCTGAGTAAATAAAATAAAAAATTATAAATATTTAAATGGTTTCTAACATTGTAATAAACAATTTTTTTTTTTAAAAAAAATTACTTTAAAAATAATATATATAATAATAACTAGATGGTTAAGACCTATCAATTGGGTCGTGTTTCTGGTATAAAGGATTCTTTGATTCTTTTATCTTGTTTGAATACTTACAAATAATAGACTTACATGATTTTGGCCAATAAAATATGTTTATTAATTATAAATCATGACTACCAATGTTAAATGTCAAGGACACATTATTGATTATGTTGCCATGCTATAAAGGAAATGATTGATAATAGTTAAATTGATGAACTCATATGAATCACATGAATTACAACAAGTTGACAATATCAAATTACCAGATTTAAACAATATACATGATACAATTTACATTAGATGTCAACCACTGAATCTTGAATGGACAGTTGATTTCCAATTCAGATACAACTAATGCATGAAATCATGTAACTACTAATAACTAAACAAGACAACAATACTACCAACAACAATATCATCATTAACAGCAACAAAATTAATGATCGTGGCTATGATAAGAATGGGAATTAGAAATGATTGAATTGTGGTTTAGATCCAGGCACAAAGACATTTTGCTGGCAGGCAAGAAAGATAATATTAAGTGCAGCCACAAAGAATGGCATGCAATTGCAGAATTAATGAAAAGGGAAATTTGGTATAGGAACAATCAAGATATTCAAACTTTATGCTTGGAATCCCAACCCCCATGCACAATTTCAACAATAAAATACCTTAATTATTTTCATAATGCCAGAGAAGACTTTATGCAAAAGTGACAAAAAATTCAAACACACTTGTTGCTTTTGGAGATGGCTAGTTCTCAAGTTCTTCAAGAGGCCACCTACCAGGTCCTGTCAAACAACTTTTTGCTGAATTGAAAAAAAAAGATGTCAATTTGAGTTTTACACCAGTCAAACTTGTTCTTTATATTGCTGTGAGAGGAATTTTGATGGAGAATAACGATTTTGATCTGTCCGAATTTGTAAAACCAACAAATGTCAGATTAATTGGAATCATGACAAAATGCGTTACAAGAAATGAAATATTTTTTTTTAGCTTTGATAAGTTGAAGCCTTAATTCCCATTCCGCTTAGGTGAATTAAAAGCTCAGCTCAATTGTTAGCAACCTTGTCAAGCTGATTTATTTATTTCTTTTCTTTTGCCAGTTTCTTGAATATGCAAAAAAATTTGTCTTGTCACAAAATTAGAAAGATATTCCTGTACTTGACCAATTTTAGAAATTTGGCCAAATTTCTGCTTGTCCTCAAAAAAAAAAAAACCATGACAGAAATTTCAACAGGAGGTTGTCCTATAAATCATAATAATAATAACAACAACAACAATAATAATGACAATGATAATAATTTGATATCAATTTTACAATCAAAAAATTCAAAATGTCCCATAGGTGATAATAATAATAATAATAATCAGATTGATTCATCAAAAGGATGTTCTAGTGATAATCTGTCATCATCATCATCATCATCATCAATAACAATAGATCAAAATCAAAACTCATTATTAAATACAACACGTCAACGTTCTTCCATTCCTCGTGTTTCATCTAATATTGTTAGTAATGGTAATGAAGATAATAATAATAATAATAATAATATTGATAATGACAACAAGAATCATTATTGGGTGTATCCATCAGAACAAATGTTTTTCAATGCAATGAAACGCAAAAATTGGAATCCTAATACTGAGGATATGAAAGTTATTGTACCCATACATAATGCCGTGAATGAAAAAGCATGGAAAGAAATTTTGGAATGGGAAAAATTACATGAAAAGTAAGTAATAAAACATTTTATTTACTTTTTGATTGATAGAATTTTATCAAGATTTTTGGTTTTTTTTTTATAATAGCAAATGTGGTGGTCCAAGATTAATAAATTTTCAAGGTAGATCAAAAGATTTTACACCAAAAGCAAGAATTTTGAATTTGTTAGGGTAATTAATTAGTTAAAATTGTGTGATTGATTCATTATTCATCATCAATAATATTTCTTTAATAAATTTATTTTTTCAAAAAAGATATAAATTACCATTTGATAGACATGATTGGGTAATTGATAGATGTGGTAAACATGTAACCTACATAATTGATTTCTATTCAGGTCAACCAGATCCAAAATTTCCTGAACGTGTTGCTTCATTCTATCTTGATGTTCGTCCTGCTTTGACTTTCAATGGGACAATTGATAGAATAAGAAAATGGGTTAACAGCTGGTTGGTATAGATAATTTGGTAATTTTGTTCAATTAGTAGTAGCAAGAAGATTATTGATTGATTTATCAATTAATCAATTAGAATACATGTAATTATTATACATCAATTAAATAAAACAATGAGGATTAGATTTTATTTTAAAAAAAAATTTTTAAATTAAAAATTGAATAATAAAACAAATTAATTCCTACTCTTAATATATAGAAAAGTTGAACTATTTACAATATTTTTTATAAAGAGTTATTTATATTATATAATTATTATTATTAAAAAATTATACTTGCCACAAAAAATTTTCTCAAAAAACACCACGTGATTGAATTGTGCAACCAATTTTTGAACCAGTACCATAAAGTCTCTGATAAGACTGACTTCGACTTCAAACCCTTAAGAATTGATATAGTAATGAATCAACACCTACAAATACAAACACTGCTGGTACTGGTACCAATCTAAATGAAACTTACTTTTCCAGGACAACAACAACAACAATAAAAGGAACCAAGTTCCTTTGTTGTAGGACACATAGATAGAAGGAACACTAATAAACTTTGATATTCTTTTGCTTATTAGTCATACCACCAGATTTACAACTACTACACAGTGGGTCTCGATTTAACGGACCTCGATTTAGCGGATTTAGGGGTTTAACGGATAAATTTTCAAAACCAAATTTTTCTATAATTATTTTATTTCGATTTAACGGATTTAACGGATTTTCATATATATTCGATTTAGCGGATATTTTTTAAAAATCCATATTAATAGGAGTGATTTTCACCAGTGGCGAAATTTAAAAAATCATTCTAAAATCTATATGAAAATAAATATAAATTAAAATAATAACAGTAATAACAACCATGATAACACTAGTAATAATAACAATGATAACAATTATTAAATAAATAAGGACTCTACAATTAATTATTCAATAAATGTAAAAAATAAATATAATAATATAAATAATATTGATAATGATAAAATTATGAAACAAAATAATAATTTTTTTTTATCCTAATGCTTTTTTCAAATCATTCCATTTTCGTTTCAACACTTCTCTTTCATTCTCACTCTCTGCATACCTCATCTTAATTTCTATTAACATATTTTCTAAACTTGAAAGTTGATCCTCCAATAGATTATTTCTTTCTACCAATTCAATATTCTTTTTAGCCAAATCTTCCATTTGATCTTGTGTTTTACTTTCAATTTCTTTATGTTGAATCTCCAAATTTCTACGCAGATTTGCAATTGTTTGATGGAGATTGCCATTTTCGTCTTTATATTGTGCAAGTTCCATCTTAGTATTAATGAAATCATTAGCGAGTTCAACATGTTCACGGTCAAGTGTTTGTAAGCTGCTTTCAAGACTTTTGATTTTACCAGATAGATGATTATTATTAACTCTTATTCTCTCAGCTGCTTCTGCCTCTGCTATGAATCTTTTCTTCTCATTTTCTTGATGTGTATAATAAGCTTGTTGATATCTATTAAGTTTTTTGACTGTGATTCGAATATCATATGCATCTTTAACAAAATCATTAGTTTTATATTGTGTTTCAGTTATCAATTGTGCCAATATACCAGTAGGGGTAAACTACAAATATATTAATATTTTATTATTATTATTATTATTATTATTATTATTATGCTATTATAAATATAATAATTATTGTAAAAAATAGCACGAACCTGGTAACTTTCAAACAATCCACTTTTCAAAAATTCCAATAGAGGTTCAAAATTCAATTCAACAATTTTTTTTTCATTTCTTTTCAATAGTGCAATACTGAATCGGAAAATAGCCTCAATCCCCTCAGTGAAAATTGTATCGTATATTCGAAATACCAATGATAATGGAAATTTGTATGCGAAAAGTGTCATAAACCATTGTGATGCATACATTGATGAGTTTATTCCTTGTGCCAAAAGATGACTGTGAATTCTGGGAAGCATTTCTTCAACCAGAAGATCAAACTGGAAAAGACGAAGTTGAAGACCGTCCATTCCTGGTACAAAATGGCTTCGCATATTATATTGTTTCATTAATTTAACAAGAACACAAAAGGCCTCTTCATCTGGCATCTAATTATTATCAATAAATTATAAATTAATTAGTTATTAATTATTATATTTACTATAATTTATAAAATAAAATAAAATAATAAATACATTTAAAAGTAAAGGTCCAACAACAAATGATATGCCTTGACAATATCCAACTTCAGGATCATAAATCGAATATGCTTTAACAACGTTGAATAAACCTTCTTGACCTATTCCATCCTGATTCCGGAAAAATTCATGTTTTGGAAAGGTTCTATTCAAATCTCTTACAATCATTTTTTCATGAGGGCTTGATTGTTTGAGCAATTGTGAATATTTAGCTTCCAGTTCAGCATCTTTAGATTTAGACATTAATTGCCATATCATGCCCCGTAATGCTTGCGGTATTCCTTTTTGAATTGCTTTGGATAAATGTCGTGATTTTGTTCTTGCAACAGTTTCATAATCTGATATAATTTGTCCCCAAAAGTCTTATAATAATTGATATTTGTTTTAAAAACAATTATGAATGTAGATGATTAATTAATTAATAAATATAAATAGATATATATATATATTATATAATAATTACCCCAATCTATATCATCATCTTGTGAATTTACAATAGCTTCATTTTGGACTCTTTCAAAACTACGTTTTAATTCTGCGATTCCTTGTATTGAGATTCGTTTTGCCTTAGGATCTTCTTGCAAAATTTGATTTTCTCTTTCAATTTTAGCAAACAACAAATCATAATTAGATACTGAAGATACTGTAGACACATTAGACACATTAGACGCACGACGCGAATCAAATCTTTCATTAATAGGTGTAGTTATTGTAGATGAAGTACTTGATCTTGAGCCAAACAATAATGATAAGTTTTTTAATGAGTTGGGGGTCTTGGAAAAAGCCCATTCCTGCGAGCCCCATTCTTTAGGTGACTCTTGAATATAATTATCATCATCCAAAGATACATCATTTAATTCAGGATTTTCAGCAAGAGATGCAACTGAAATTCGTTTAATTTTGTCAGTTACTATATGTGCAAGAGGATTCTTATCCATGGATATATCTGATTGTTGATTGATTGAAATTGAAGAAAAACTGGATTTTGAAGTTCTCGATTCAAAATCAACCCTGTCGTCCGATGAACTAGATGAAAAAGTGCTAGTAGGTGATTCTTGTCTATCATCATCATCATGATCACTAACTTGTGAATTTTGAGCATCTTGAATGGTTTGAATCTTTTGAACTGATTCATTATATTTTCCAATATCCTGCTCTAATAATGATGTTCGTTTTGGTAATGAATTTGATGATTCTTTAATGGTATCTTCTATTTCAACATCTTTTAAATTGTCTACTACTTTATCCGCCTTTTTCACCATTATATCTACTTTATCCTTTTTATTATCATCATAATTATTGTCATAAATGTCATTATTATTATGGCTATTATTTTCATTAATTATAATATCATTGATTATTTCTCCCTTTTGAACATTTTTTACATTTTCTATCTTTAAATCATCGTCTTTATCATCATCTTTATTATTACCATTATTACCTTCACTAAATGCATCCTTTCCACCAAGTTTATCGTCTTTATTATTGTTATTATTATTATCGTCACATGCATCATTATCTTCACTAAGTGCACTAAGTTTATCGTCTTTATTATTGTTATTATTATCGTCAAATGCATCATTACTTTCATTAAGTGCGTCATTGTCATTAAGTGCACTAAGTTTATCGTCTTTATTATTGTTATTATTATCGTCAAATGCATCATTACTTTCATTAAGTGCATCATTGTCACTAAGTGCACCAAGTTTATCGTCTTTATTATTGTTATTATTATCGTCAAATGCATCATTATCTTCATTAAGTGCGTCATTGTCACTAAGTGCACTAAGTTTATCGTCTTTATTATTGTTATTATTATCGTCAAATGCATCATTATCTTCATTAAGTACATCATTGTCACTAAGTGCACCAAGTTTATCGTCTTTATTATCGTTATTATTATTATTTTCGTCAAATGCATCATTATCTTCACTAAGCGCGCCATTTTCATTAAGTGTATCATCATCTTTATTGTTGTTATTTTCACTAAATGCATCTTTAATGTTTTTTCCTTTTTCAAAAACCTTTACATTTTCTTCTACATCTAAATCATTATCTCTACCATCAATATCTATATTATCAATATACTTATTGTCTTTGCCAATAAAATCCTTTTTAACTATTTCTTCTTTTTCAGTATTTTTTATATTTTCTACCTTTAAAACACCATCTTCACTATTATTATTACCATCATCATAATCATCATCATTGTCATTGTCATTGTCATCGTCGTCGTCGTCGTCGTCGTCATTGTTATATTTATATTCAAGATTGTCATTTTCTTCTTTCTCTTGTTGAGTATCCAGCTCAAATATATTAGTTTCAATATTAGGGTTGATGACTGAAGTCATCTTGACTTATTTATTAATTATTATTTTTAAAAATTTATCAATTAATGAATGAATGAGAGTTGGAATTGTTGCGAGAAAAATTAAAGAATTAGGTTTAATAAGTTGTTGGCAATCAAAGCTCAAGCTCTTATTGCATAACAAAAAAATAATATGTGTATGTGTGTGGATTAAAAAGATTGTAAAGAAAGGTTGTGAAAAAAAATTAATTTTTTAATAAAGTAGATCAATGTTTATATTAATAGTTAACCGAACCGAGCAGAGCATAGTGGAAATTGGTTGTTACACGAAACGTTATACAGAACTCATTGCTTCTGAAACTTCGCCAGTATATAGTCGTTACCTTTCTAAATTGGAGATCAAGTTCAGATCCAGTTTATCACTTACTTTTTATTGCCAGAATGTTTGCCGTGTATTGTAAAGCTACGTTGCACAATATAAAAAATTAGTGTAACATTTCAAATTTACCGAGCAGCAAGAAAATTTTTAATAAATTTTTTTAATTAGTTACGTTACACGAATTCGCAATTGAAACTAGAAATGTCTGAACGAAATAAAGGAGTTTACGAAAAAGGGCCAGTAAGAAAAATTTTTTTTGAAAAAATTATGCTCTCAGATCTTTTTTGACCTTTTTTTTCAAAAAACATTGTTTCCAGCAAGACACAAATTTTAGACGTACCTGGGACAAATCAGAGTATGAACGTCGTGCAAGAGAGAGGTCCCGAAAAGAAAGGGAACAAGAAGAAGACGAAGATCGTAAACGTAAAGGACAGAAACCAAAACATGTGGATAGTTCTCCAATAATTGAACCTCCTCGAGAACTTTTAAAAGCTCGTACTGAGAAGGTTGTTCTCGATACCAACTTGAATAAGACGCAAGTTGTACAATCTACGAGCGTTGCATCAAAACAGCCTGGTTTTTATTGTAAAGAATGTGATTGTGTTGTCAAGGACAGTGTAAATTTTTTGGATCATATAAATGGAAAGAAACGTAAGCTATATATATCATATTTTTGTTTTGGAAGAAAGAAATCTAAAGTTTAATGTATAGCTTGATTAAAATAAAGCACCAAAAACTTTCAGATCAAAGAGCTTTAGGTATGTCTATGAAAGTTGAGCGTAGCACAGCAGAACAAATTAGAAATAAGCTTGCTAAAATAAGTCAAAAAAAGGAAGGACATCAAGAATATGGTTGGTGACTTATCCTTCTATTATTATTATATAATTGTTTTGATGTTAACACAAGATAATAATAATTTAGACTTGGATGCAAGGATAGAACAATTACAAAAAGAAGAAGAGGAAGAAAAAAGAAGAAGAAAAGAGAAAAAGAAAAAGAAAAGGGCAGAATCAAGTAAAGAAGGTGAAAAAGATGATTTTGGAGATGTAGATCCGGAACTAAAAAAATTAATGGGGTAATTGTTATTATTATTATATGTTTTTCTTTGAATATAAAAATTTCTAATATATTTATTAATATATAGGTTTAGTGGGTTTAGTTAATAATGATATAAAATAAAATAAATATCTAATAAATATAAATTATTAATGAACTATATTATAACAACAATGATGAGTTTTTTTTAAAGCCATAATGCCTGTTTTACTCTAAATCCAACTTAGTCATAATACCAGTATTTTTGCTAGCTTCTTCCAAATTAATATGTATAAAGATATATATGCGTGTGTGTGTGTGTGTGTGTGTGTGTTAATTAATATTCCTACCATAAAATGATTTCATCTAAAAATTAATTAATTACCTGATAATAGGCCTTTCCACTATAAAACCAGCATTTTCTGCATTACCAACTTCTCAACAAGCTCTAACAATTTCATCTACAACTTCAAAAACAATTTGTTGACTCGATTTTTTATGCGTTGATTGACCACCACCAAGTCTAGTGTCACCATTACCACCATTACCACCATTACTATTACTGCTATCACTACTATTAATATTACCAGCTCCTCTGACGACACCACCACCACCACCACTAACAACACAACTACCACCACCATCAAATTTTGTAGCTTCGCCGACCAAATTACTTCTAAAAGCTTTGAGTGCCATAAATCGTTGAGCTCCTTGAGCACTATTGTTGTTGTTGTTTTCGTTGTTATTACGCATACTACCAGTATTTAAACTACTTGTTTCACCAGATGCTTGATAATAAACTACAAAATCGTAATTATCCTCTGGAGAAGCACATGAAGGATACAATGTCGATAATATATACTCGTCTATTTATTAAATAACAGACAAATAAAATAGAATATTCATTAGAATACTTGGTAATAATAATAATAATTATTATTAATTGATAAATTTTTTCTCTTTTTATATAATATATGATAAGATTAATTGATTAGTTGGTTGTATTTGCCTTTTTCAATACAAGTTATTTCCCCTAAACCAATTCTTTGAAATTGCATAACTTTTTCGAGACGATAATGAAAAGTACAGACGTATAATGCTTTTTTTGTTAATAGTATAACCTTTTCTTTATATGATTTTCCTCTCCTAAAGTAAAATTCATGTGTAAAGTTTTTTCTCGATTGATTAGCAAACAAAAAAAAAATATATATGTTTATTCATACAATGTATTTGGTTCAGATGGTGAAAGAAAAGTCCATCCGACTAACTTTTCAATTATTACAATCGAACTACTAATTTCAACTGAAATAAATAAATAAAAATGAAGTTAATTGATAAATAAATAATATTGATTTTTATTTATTTTTAAAAGTTTTTAAAAAAATTTGCTTTTAATAGCTCTAACTTTTGTTTATTTATCAGTATTACTCGGTTGTGAGGCTTCAAATTTTTGTTGTATTTCTTGAAAACTTCAATTGTATGATTTCCAAGAATGTAGTCAATAGTAGACTACGATAATGATTAATAAAAAAATAAATAATGATTATAATAATGGAAAAGGGATATTTATATTTATTTGAATTTACTTGTCTGAAAAAATCTTTTAAAATAGTCTTGCTAATGAATTTGATGCATCATTTACAACACATTGTAAATTCTTTTCCCTATATATAAATATATATATTAATCATAAATTCATTATTAGTTTTTTAAATTTAACTAATTATTTTAATTATGTGTAATGGTTCTTGATGAATTAAGTTACCAGTCCTAAAAATAAAATATTTCATTTATATACAAATATTTTGTCAGCCCTTATTTTATTGATAAAAATATATGAATATAGCATACAAATATATCATAAATGATAATACATTGGATAATCTCCTTTTAATGCACTTGTGCTTGCATACTCACGACTTATCGAATCACCATTATTGGCCCAAACTAATAAATAAGCAAATAATGAGATTTGGCATTCAGCATTTAAATTTAACTTTTAACAAATAATGTCGACTTTTTTGGGAAAAAATAACAGAATAATAAAATTAATAACAAAACATACAATCATTAAATATATTTTCAAAATGTTCATAATGTGATATTCTATAAAATCTGAAACCCCTAAACGTAAAAGTTGCAAATTTAAAACTTCTCTTGCAATTGCACTCTAATGTTTGAGAGGAGAAATATTAAAATATGGCAAAGTATTTATAGAATAATATTTTTATAAGTAAACTAATAATCAATCATACTAAGTAATTGGATTTACCTGTTCTATCTAAACAATCCATACAGTTCTATGAAATGGTAATTGAATTTAGAAATATTATTTGAATTCTACAAGTATGATAAATAATAATAATAATAATAATAATAAAGAATTGTGTGATATCAAACTGCACAAAAAACTCACTCTTGACAACAACGAATTTCAGAATCACCTGCTTGCCAATAATATCTAAAAGTTTGTAGAATAACAGTAATGTAAATCTCAAATGAAAATTAAATAATAAATGTCTTTTAAATGGTAGTAGACTAACCCTATTGAATTGAAATTACGATGAAGTGATGATACAAGTTTTGAAATATTTTTATATTTCATTCCTTTACACTCTTTATTCAATATAACTAAAAAAAAAATTTGTTTTAAAAACACACGCACATTTGTATAGATTATTAAACCAATCATAATGTAATAATAATGAATTATTCACATACTCAATCTTGATATCATTTAATTTACAAATTTTTTCTTTGTAAGTGCCTCCGACAATCACTTCATGTCCATTTAATTCAGTTAAATTCACATTAGTTACAGTCCCATATTTTTAATTGATCAAAATGTTTTTTAAATGCTTCCATGTTTTCTCCTAAAGATTGTTCAAGAACCAGCTTTGGTTTTAGGCTGTATGGTGATTGAAACCAAAAAATTGGCACTATTATTAAAAAATAAGTTATGCTGTTAATATAATATTTTAATAGTTATAATGATCATAATTAAACTTGATAAATAAATAAAAGGCAGCTTTGAACCTACTAGATCACAAACTTGTAAAATGATACTAAATGAAGAATATCATCTACCTAATATAAAAATCATAGAACAAACATGGTTTTTACAAATAGTATTAATTGAATTTAAAATCCCAAATTAATAATAATAAAATGATAATAATAGTAGTAAAATAATAAGATGCCTTTATTGATATAATTTGTTCTGTTTCCACAAAATTAGCAACATCACCATTTTTCATTAATACCTCTACGTTGATATCTTAAACCTAAAATTGAAATTTTGTTAAACATATAGATTTCCTCCATCGAAAAATCCAGTCATATACTCTCACATACTTTATATCTATGGAATTTTTTCACAGGTGAGACCTCCTATGTGTCGAAAGCCTTTGGAAGTCACCTTTAACAATGCTGCCATTTCGATAAGCCTCAGAGCTACGCATCCTCCCTGAAAATTTAATTGCATCATCGTATCATCGGGGCTCAGGTCATATTAGCCTTATGTGTGCGAAGAATAAGAGAATAACTGTAATGTTTTAATATTTGAGCACACACTCCGGCATTTATAAGTTTCCATCCAATGATCAAATGTTGTATATCGAGTTGTTTTTCCAAATTGTCCAAGCACACGATATCTCCAATAGTTGCGTTGCTTTTTTCGCCTCAGGCATTTCTTATCAATGACGTTAACATTAATAATGGATCAGTGTATGTGCGGAATGTGCGGGTGTAACATCGTACACTAGCAGTTTTCTGCAGATAGTTTCTAAATTTGTAGAAATCTGCATTAGTTACACACTGAAATTTATACACTGATAACAAGCATTCATCAGTATATTTTACAAGCTTCTTGGAAGCTTTGTACGTTGTCATACATCTTGTATTTAACAGTTACTCGCAACCTATCATCAACTCTACTTTTTTCTATTGAATTATTTTGAACTTTTAGATTACACAATAAAAATTATGGAATAAAATTTGTCCAATGAAATGTTGTAAACTGTACATATCCCATGCATAACTTGAAAAAAATTGGTATATAAGACTCATTTTTCCATCACCAGTACTCATCTCAGGGTACAAACCCATGTGACTCACTTAAATGTGTTATTAAAGTCCTGGAAGTGAGATAGTGAAACTCTGCTGGTAGCTCATGCTGAGTGTATTGACCCTTCATGACATGACCTCTCTCTTTTGTTAATTTTATTGTTTATTTTATTTAGATAAAAATTCATTAATTGATTTGATTGGTTCCATCAATTATGAGAAAGCATTATTATTATATATATCCCTAAGAAGTACAAATAGCTTATCAACCTCATTGGCCATATCATATGGATGCTGACTATATATTGCATTTGATTTTGCGACATAAGCTTCATCATCTGGTATAATTTTTTTTGCTTATAATTTTACCATGAACTCTGGGGTAAATGACTTTTGTAATTTCCATAAGTATCTTTCATATTTAAATGCTTCTCTCCTATCCTTAAAGTTTCCTTGCTTTGACCTGTTCTGATTATATTATAAAGTGTCTCCTTGATATCTTTGCTATTTTTTCCACCTCTAATTGTTATATTTGAAGTATAATCATCCATTGAATAATAATCCATTCTATCAAAAAATCTCATTGAGATACTTATAAAAAATAAAAGTCAAATTCAAAATTACGATTAATACTTAAAAAAATATAACATAAAACAAATATGCTTTTCTGTGAATCTTGCCAAAATAGAGCCTTACATGAGTTTGCTATCATTAAACTAACTGATGATGAATCTATAAAAACTTACTATGAATGGCTGCTAGATCATTGAAATATAAGAAATCAGTTTCTCTTTGGGATGACACAAAAAAATATTAACAAATATCTTTCTATGGTCATACCTCCAAATCCTGATAAAGATAGCTATATATCTTTTGGTTTTGAATTGCCATTAGATCAAATTATCAAAAAACTTTCTGAGAATGAAGAATAATTTCATTCAGATTCGATTTCTTCTATTTCCTTTATAAAATTATTGATTCTAGCAGTTAAATGCCTTCTCTAGTCTGGAACCTTTTCTCCCTTATTTTTAGCATATTTCCCAGATGAAATAGCTTTACTCTTGGTCTCTTTTGTATTTCTACATACTCGATCTCTTCTCTTACCTCTACTAAATCTCCATCCTCAAATGGATTCCTACTATCATCTAGATAAGAAATTGCTTTAGCAATATAGTTAAAAGCTTTATTAATATATGCAAACATTTTTTTATATAGATCACTGAAATGTTTAATTCGAAAATTTTATCAATTTATTATTTTTCTAACTTTGTTATCTGGCATGTTCCACATGTCTTGCTCATTTCGCCTGCTTTCCTGTTTTCTATTATGATAAAAAATTTTTTTTTCTTTGATGTATATCTAATGATAATGGTGGTGAAATTACTATGAAATAGGTCTCTGGAGCATCTTGTGTATATATAAGATATAAAAATTAATGATATCAAAAATACTATGAAATAGGTCTCTGTAGATATAAACTGGATAAAAAACTGGTAAAAAATGATTTCTGTGCCAGAACCACTCATATTACACAACAGTTGTAATATGTTATGGAACTGTCAAATATTGGGAGTAAAAAATATGACTATATTGGATGTAACTATATAGGTATGTGGATAGCAAAATATTTGTGGTTGTACAAGTTATCAATCATTTCTAAAAATAAATTTGTAACCAGTTCCATATGGTAAATGTGTGGTGTTAATTACCACAATAGCAGCCGTTCATGGTTCGAAACCCGTTGAGCGGTCATAGGAACTTGGTTAGTGTCTTGTCGTAACACCCGAAAAAATTTTGTAAAAACATCTAATACTTTTTTTTCACCTCAATTCTTGATAAATATAAACAATGTTAATTAATACAATGACAGTCAGATATTAACTTTATTAAAATATTAATATGGTTGGCTCGGTCTATACACATTGCAATAAAAATTTTTCAAAGGTTCCTTACTGCCAAATTTAGTAATGACGTCAAAGGCTAGCCTAAATTTAGCAATGATCATAGTGCTGTGAACATAGTATATAATAGTAAAATACATGTACTAAAAAAGAATAGAACTCTATAACAAATAATTTTTTTACATTACTAGAGACCTATTCTATCAACTAATAGCATAGTGGACATTTGATTTCATTGGCTAAATTATGTGACGATCTCCCTTCCAGATATCACGCAAAAATTAAA